AGTGTAATGGCTAGCAAGGCTCCCCGAGGGAACCTAGCTCGTAGGCTTGGAGGCGGAAGGCGTAAGTCACCTCCTCTCCGCACGGTGTGCGGCCACTGGCCTGGCCAAGCATGCGTTATCATTTGTGTAGGCTTCATGCCTCGCCTCGTGGAGTGGGGGTCTGGGGCTGGCGTTTTTGTTGAAAAAAGAACAGACCCCCACCCTATGAGGTTTAGGTCCGCTTCCAGACAGGAGTTTTGCCGTGCCCCCTTGCTGACACCGCAGCCAGGTGCAACAGCCCAGCGCTCGGCAGAGGCTCCTTTCACGCATGTCGCAGATGTCATTTCGTGATATAGTCATGGATGGCCCTGACAAGGACAATCGTCGAAACATCGTTCGAGCAGGCATTGTCTTGAACTTTGTTGAGATCGCCAAGTTGGTGGTGAATGAATGAATAAATGAACGAGGGGGACGGATTAGGACGATGGGGAAGGAGGGTTTGGCGGCGGAAAAGGACACGGTTACCAGGAGAGAAAGAGAGAAACAGAGGGAGAAAGAGGAACAAAACAAACACATGGAAATATGAAAATAACGAGAGAACGGGAGAGAAAGAGAGAAAGAGAGAGAAGAAAAGGAACGTTTTTTCTGTACTCCCCGGCGCAACGCTCGTTACCCAGGCCACCCCCCCCCCGGGTCACGTTGAGGATCGTGCTGGGGCGGGGACGGGGGACTTGGGCCCCCCCCTACATGCTGGGCGCTGCCCCCCCCCTCCCCCCCCCGCAGTTATGGCGCTGTGCTGACAGGCGTGGCGTTGTCTGAGCGGCGCGCATTGGGTTAACGAGCGTGTTGTGGCGCTCGCAGGCTCCCCACCACTTGCTGCGCCGAGCTCGCAGGCATGGCGTAGAGCGGGCAGAGGCGGAGCGCCGGCTGCGCGCGTGGGCCGCTCGCTGCGTGAAACCTTATTTCTTTGAGGACCACAAAACGATCGGGAGTAAGTTGCCGTGGAATTTGTAGTTTTTGACGAGGGGCGGAATACATATAACAGAGCCAGCCCATCGTCGTCGTTGTCGTCGTCGGTGGCTCAGCTACCGCAGGCTGGTTCGACCACTTCGCCTTCTGGCCAGTGTTCGGTCGCAGTGTGATGCAGTCGACGCGTCTAATAATGACGCGCGCCTTCTCCAGGGTAGCCTTGTGTCCTTGCCTCCTGGCCAGCCTCTGCGGCCTGCCCGTTGCCGGTTCTACTGGGCAGCTTTTGCCAACAAATCCCGTTTTCTGTTTCCAAGGGCCATGGAGAATATAGAGCATGGGCTGCCCCGCGCCTTCTCCCGCAGGCGTTGAGGTGTGCGCGGGCGTTGCAGTCGGCGCTGTGTTGCACACGGGTCTTGCGGTGTACGCAGGCGCTGTGGTGTACGCGAGCGCTGTGGTGCACGCAGGCGGTGTGGTGTACACCGACGCTGTGTTGCATGCGGTTGCTGTGGTGTACACAGGCGTTGTGAAGTACGCAGGTGTTGTGGCGCACGCGTGAAGAATCCTCAGGCGCTCCACTTTCTATAGGGACGTTTGTAAAACATGTCTATGAAGCATTTGGTTTGTGTGGAATGCAGAGGCGCCCCACTTTCCATCTGGATTCCTTTTTGTCAAGAACAGCATCAATTGTTATCTGTGGAATCCAGAGATGTTCCGCTGTTCAGAGCGAATAGTTTGAAATCTTTAAGTAAAACGTTGTGTATGATGGAATCCAGAGGCGCTTCATTTTCCATAGGGCTTCGTCTAATCATCAGATTATAATCAAAAGTTATCTCTAGAATTCAGGGGCGTAATCTTAGATTTGAAGGGTGATTCAGTTTCACGGTGCTTGCGTTGTGGCGCACACAGGCGACGTTGTGTACACGGGCGTTGTTGCGGACACAGCTTTTGCAGTACGCACAAGCACTGCGGTGTGCAAAGGCGACGTGATGCTGCAGTGCACGCGGCTTTTGTGGTGTACGGAGGCACCGTGGTGTGTACACAGGTGGCGCTGCGTTGCACGCAGGCGTTGGGCATTGTCGTGTGTACAGGGAGTGCGGTGCACAGGCGATTGATGCGGCGGTGGCGCAGACGCACCCTGGCGGGCGCACGCCGGGGCCGCAGTTACTGTTCCCCTCCCGCCCGGACCCCCTCGCCGGGTAACGGCTGTCACCCCGGAAAGAAAACAAAACGGTCACGAGAGAGAAAGGAGGGAGGTGGGCAAGCAGGGAAGGGGTGAGAGGGCAGGCGGAGCGGGTGTAGCCGCGCAGTGCCGCTTGGGACACGCCGAGGTATACCTTCTAGGCGAGGCGGCTGACAGAGCTGCCTTGCACATCGCCTTCTTAGAGCCCTCTTGGGTGGCTCTTGGGCGCTCTTGAAGCCGTTTTGGAGTTTTTCTGGACCCCCTTTGGGGCTCTCTTGGGCGACGCCGGAACTATCTCCAGGCCTCAGGAGACCATCGGAAGCGAAAAGGCGATATCATGGCAACGATCGGTGACATGTGCACAATTTCGCAGTGCTTCGGGCCTCTAGTATCCCGCGTAGAGGCCACATGGAGGAGCAGAGACTCCAGGGCGTTCTTGAGGTTTCTCGGATGCGTTCTGTAGGCCATGTTGCTCCGTATTGGGCCAGTTTGTGCCGTCTCGGAGGCCACTTTGGTCCATCGTGGGTCGTTTTGGGACCGTTGTGGGCCAAGAGGGGCCCGCTGACACCTCGGGCCGCCGCCCCCCCGTCCAGACCCAGGGGGTGTGGTCGGGGGATGGGCGAACCCTGCCCCGCCGGGGAAGCAGGAGGTTGGAAGACCGAACCCTTGCAACCACCTGCAACCACCTCCTCCTCCTCCTCCTCCTCCTCCTCCCCCTCCCTCCTCCTCCTCCTCCTCCTCCTCCCTCCTCCTCCTCCCCTCCTCCCTCCTCCTCCTCCTCCTCCTCCTCCTCCTCCTCCTCCTCCTCCTCCTCCTCCTCCTCCTCCTCCCCTCCTTCTCCAGCTGGGCCTTCCTCCCCTCCTCCTCCAGCGGGGCCCCGGGGTGCCCCTGGTTTCTTGGGTTTCGACGGCTTGCGATCGAAAGCGCAACGTTCCCACCGAAAGTCGATGGACGTCCTGGGGACTCAGGGCTGGGCTTCTTGTAGAAGGCTTCTTGTGGCCGGGCCCCTGCTGTACGCCAATGGGGGCTGGCCGGGTCTGTTTTGCACCTTTGTAGGCCCACGGCGGCCCAGTCGGGATCCAAGAGGTGCACCAAAACGGTACCTGGACGAGCCTTGCGGTTTTGCGTACGCCGGGCGATCGCAAACATGGATCAAGGGGGTGTGGATTAGCGACGCGACGGATCCCGTTTCCATGAGAAATCGCGGATTTCCGCCGCCGCGCGAGGCGGCACCGGCCGCCGCATTCTGGGGAGGGCACCTCCCCCGATCCATGGATTTTGGCGACTGCGCGCCAAATCCATGGATCGCTAATCCATGTTTGCGCGCCCCCGAGCATGCGCCAGAAATCATCGAAACGAAGAGCGCTGTTTCGCCCGACTCTCCGTGGGGGGCCGTGCATGGACAATAAGTCCTAACCTTGCGGCGCACAGTCAATGTTGAGGCTGTGGTGAAAACCTGGTGCTCCCCAAGGAGGCGAGTTCTCAGTTGAATCTAGGCGAGGCCGCACCACGCTAGACCTCCCCAAAGCACACACACGCACGCACGCACGCACGCACGCACGCACGCACGCACACACACACACACACACACACACGCACGCACGCACGCACGCACGCACGCACGCACGCACGCACACAGACATACACACACGAACGCACGCACGCACACACACACACACACACGCGCGCGCACGCGCACGCACACACACACACACACACACACGCACGCACGCACGCACGCACGCACGCACGCACGCACGCACGCACGCACGCACGCACGCACGCACGCACGCACGCACGCACGCACGCACGCACGCACGCACGCACGCACGCACGCACGCACGCACGCGCACGCACGCACGCACGCACGCACGCACGCACGCACGCACGCACGCACGCACGCACGCACGCACGCACGCACGCACGCACGCACGCACGCACGCGCCCGCCCGCCCGCCCGCCCGCCCGCCGCCCGCGCGCGCGCACGCGCACGCGCACGCGCACACGCGCACACGCGCACACGCGCACACGCGCACACGCGCACACGCGCACACGCGCACACGCGCACACGCGCACACGCACACGCGCACACACGCACACACGCACACACGCACGCACGCACGCACGCGCACGCACGCACGCACGCACGCACGCACGCGCACGCACGCACGCACGCACGCACGCACGCACGCACGCACGCGCGCACGCGCGCACGCGCGCACGCGCGCACGCACGCACGCACGCACGCACGCACGCACACACACAAACACACACATACACACACAGACGCATTCACACACACACACACACACACACACACACGCATACACACTCGAATGACAACACCGGGCAACCCCCAAGGAGGGGCCTTCAGTGGAGAAAAGTACTTGAATTCCCCAGCCAGCACCCACAGGTTGAAAGAACACACATTTCGGGAACGCGGAGGGTTGACCAGAATTTCTCTCGAGTGTGCAGAAGGTTCCAAATTGCAGTCGAAGTCCACAGGAAGGATGGGTAACCTTCCCAGGGGGGCCCTTGCATCTTTGCTCCTCCGGTCCATCCTATTCACCACTTTCGATGGCCAGCCCCGCTCGAAAAAAGTTTCGGCATGGGCGTCCAAGGGCCTTGCACCCTTACCAAGCAAGACGCTGAAATCATGGCCGTGTTGGGTCCGGAAGGCGCTCGCTGTTCCTTAGGTCGTTCGGTGGTTGTTCCTCTAGCCCTCCTCGTGCACCCAGGCGCTTGTCCTCGCGTGAAGGAGCTTCGTTTCTTCTTCGGCGCTCCTTACTCCAGCAGCCCTGCTCAATTGCCAGTCTTGACCCTATTGTCCGCCCGCTGGAGCGTTGTGCCATCCGTGCTGCAGCCATCGCAGGTGCGCGGACGCGCCACCGGACGCCCCGCTGCCGCACGCCCTCCACGCGGCGGCGCGCGGCGCGTTCTCGGACAACCTTGATTTGTGCGTGAAGGCTGGCGCGCTTGATCGGCGGTGAATTCCGAACCGTACAGTCAATCGGAATCACCCAGCATTCTATACTATATGTGCGTCGCCCCCACAAGGGGCGACGCGCGCACCGAGAAATCTTCTAGTATATGCGTCGTGGCGGGCGCTTTCTGGCCACACCGCTCGGGAAACGATATACCACAATATTGGTATATTGCATGCTCGGTTCGGACGCGCGCCTCCAAGGAGGACATGTAGTAGATAGTACTAGTATGTCTCTGTGCGTCCCAGCCAGTCAAGCCGCTGACATACGGACCACTTCGGGCTCAGGAGGGGCTGGAGTGTTTGGGCCGCTGGACCTCGGTTCGGGAGCCCACACGTGGTTCATTTCTAATTCTTCGGAAGCTCTTTGATTCTTTGGGGGCCAAGGTCCTTTCATTTCGCATTGTTCTATCCTGGGCCTCTTCCCGGCCTCCAGGAGGCCAGGAACAGTCAGAAACGAGCACACTCAGAAGGGAGCACGCCTGGACACGAACGACGTGTTAGTCGCGGACGAGGCCCGCCGTGGCCAGAAAAAAGCTTCCCCGTTGTATGCCGGCGTCCCCGGAGAACAAAAAAGACTCCTCTGGCGGGGCCAGGACCGCACCTCGCCGATCAGCGACTCGGGAAAAACTCGACGCGGCGGCGGGGGGCAGGGCTCGGAGTGCGCCGAAGACGAGGCGAAGTCCGAACCAGAGGATGGTCTACGTGTGGTCTCCAGCCGCCCGCGGAGAAGGCCGTCTCCCTCTCCATTTCCCCCCGTCGCTCGCCGCCGATCTTCCGCACCCTCGTCACCATACCACGCCATCCCCAGGTCTGATTCGCCTCGTCACCACACGGCCCCAATACCATCTTCGTCACCACACGGCCCCCGCTCCCCATCGACTCATGATAGTCTGAAGTCGGGCGCGTCCATCTGCAGGAGGAGTATCCCAAAATAGTATAGACCAAAAGACTGGGGACGTTGTTGTTGTCGAATGTGTTTTTGACAATGTTTGAATATCTTCTGATTGATAATAAATTTAGGTTTCGACCGAAGTCCGCCTGTAGGAGGACACGCCTGACCTACAGCCAACCCGCATCGGAAGGAGGGGCAACCTTCCCAAGGGTACCTCTTGCAGCCTTGCCTCCTCGGTCCATCCTTCGCCGCTCTCGCTGGCATTGCCCCGCTCCAGAAGCTTCGAACTGGGCGCCCAAGGCCCTTGCATCCTTATCGCGCATCCTTACTATATTGGTCGACTGTACAGTGCCGTCTTTAATACATGCTCCGAGTGCGGATCATGTATTTTAGACATGCAGGGGATCAGTATTAAAAACAACGCTGAGTTCATGCATACATTTATGCATGCATTAATTGTGTATTAAAAATCCCATATGTTTCAACATCCTATGTGTTAGAACCTGCCCTGTGGTGATCGTCGACGGCTGGTGGGGGGCGGGCTCGGATGTCGCCGCCTGCTCGGGATGCCTCCCCGCCCCTTCCCTGGCGGCGCGCACCAGGAGGGGGCGGGGGGGGGGGCGGCGCCAGGGGCGGGGCCCTCTGGAAATGCGGGGGGGGGGGGCTGCTCGGAGGGCAGAGATCTCCCGGGGAGGGGAGCACAGGGCAGTTTTTAATACACAGGATTCGTGTATTAATAAATGAATACATGTATGCATGAACTCAGCGTTGTTTTTAATGCTAGTTCCCTGCATTTTTAACACATGATCCGCACGCGGAGCGTGTATACAAAACGGCACTGTAAGAAGAAGGATGCTAATCAGAGCGAGGGGGCCGAACGGTCATTCGTTGTCCCTGGGTGCGTGGCTGAATAGGGAATTCGTGGTGAGAGTTCTGCTTGTTGCATTGTTGTTGCTGTTGCTGTTGCTGTTGATGTTGCTATTGTTGTTGTTGTTGTTGTTGTTGCTGCTGTTGTTGTTTGTTGTCGTCGTCCCACCCGCGACCCGCCCCGCGACTCAACCCGCGACCCACCCGCGACCCACCCGCGACCCACCCCGCGACCCACCCGCCACCTACCCACATGGGCTTAACGGAAAAATCGGCGCCTGCGGCGGGCTCGTTGTAGCATTTGTCAGAATTTTGGAGCATGCGGCGGGCTTCTCCAGAGTCTCGCAAACTGCGACGTTCCCACCGCCCCTCACTCTTATCCGCAACTTTGGGGTGCTATATCTTTTGCGCATATACTGAGAATAAGACTTATAAAGATAAGACGGACGAACAACATATACATCATAATGGCATTCATAATGCGAATGATAAATGCGAATCTGCGTACACATATTATTCGTGAGAGGGGAACGACTGCTAATACGAAGCGTACTAATAATACTAATACTAGTAATCGCAATTTTAATCATTCGAGCAATAAAAAGAAGAAACAGACAACGAAGAGAAATATAAAGAATAACGGAGAAACCTGACTACTAATACGAATGCTAAACATAGTAAGAGGAAGAAAGAGAAGAAGGGAGGCGGGGCCCCCTCAGAGGGCGGGAGCAGGGGCCTTCTCAGAGGGCGAGGGGGCGGGGCGGGGGGCCACGGAGCCGACGGGGCCTCCGAGAAGGCCCCCCTTGCCCCCTCAGAAGCGGTTATAGCCAGGACCCCAGGTAAGGGGACCCGATTATAGCCAGGACCCCAGGTAAGGGGACCCGATTAGTAGTAGGGCCCTGGAGTCTCTGAATTGGCCAGAATCACTGAACCAGGTCTGCCGTAGCTGGTGTTTTTTCGGGTGGCGGCAGTTCCGGTTAGTGGGACGGGCGGGTGGGGGGGGGCGGCGAACCCAGTTCTGCCAACGCCCGATAGGGGGACGAACAGTGACATAAACATGAAAACTCGGAGGTCCGCGCGGAGTTCTCGGATCCGCGCTGGGGCCACCCTGGCGACGCTTCTGGCGCCGCCCCTGGCCGCGCTCCGCGCTGGACCCCCCTCCCTTGCGCGCGGAGCGCGCCAGGGGCGGCGCCAGAAGCGCCGCCAGGGGGGCCCCAGCAGCGCGGATCCGAGAACTCCGCGCGAACCTTCGAGTTTTCATGTTTATGTCACTGTTCGTTCCCCGATCCCAGAGTATCAGGAGGGACAACAAAAAGCACACAGACAGAAATGAGCGCCGATGCCCAGGAAAATATATGAGGAGCTATGGGACGTGTAACGGGGGCGGCGAAACTCCAGGACATGTGGGAAGATATGGTCCCCGAGACTCAGGATGGAGCCACAAAAGAGGGGGTCCTCCTCCTCCTCCTCCTCCTCCTCCTCCTCCTCCTCGTCCTGCTCCTTCTCGTCCTCCGCCTCCTTCCCCCCTCCAACTTATGGTGGCAGTGGTGGAAAAACAGGCCCATCACAAGAGGCGAAGAAGAGAGAACGGAGCTCCGCGCGGATTTCTTTGGATCGGCGATGGGCCCGCATGGCGGCGCCTCCGGCGCCGCCCCTTTGCGCGCTCCGCGCGCCAGGGAGGGGGTCCAGCGCGGATCCAGGAGATCCGTGCGGACCTCCGCAGGTTTGTGCTCATGTGCCGTTCCTTCTTCCTCCAGAGGGCCCCTGCCTTTAGACTGAGGACCCCCCCCCCCGCCCTTTCAGAAGGCCCTCCCGCCCCCCCTTGCGCCACCCCCCCGTGCGCGCCGCGAAAGGGCGGGGCACTTCGGGCCAGGAGCGCCTCCGAGCCCTGGGGGCGGGGCCGAGGTGCGGGCGAGGGCCGGCCGGGGCCCGGCCCAGAGGCTCTGGAGGACATGTTCGTCAGCGAGGAGTTCGTCTGCCTGCTCGTGCTGGACGAGCTGCAGGCCGCGGAGCAGCGCAGACGGGGAAGCCTCGCCGCTGTCGCTGCGACCCGCCGGCCCCCTGGCCTAGCCAGGTCTCCAGCGACATGGTCTTTTTGGCAGCCCGAACAAGGGGCCTCGGGGGCCATGACCGGGCGCCAGCGCCCTCAAGCAAAGAACAGATCTGGGACCAAACAACTGCCTTCGGAGAGGCGGTCAGTCTTTTTTTGGGGGCCCCAGTTAGGCATGTGGGCGGATGTCCTGGTGGCCGTTGGTGTCGTCACCTCAGTCCTCGCCTCGGTCCTCCCCCGCGTGGTGCGCCCGAACCACTGAGTTGAGATTCTTCTCGCTCATATCCACTCCCTCTCCAACTCCTATGAGCTCCCCCCCACTCCATCCATGAATGCCTCCCTCCTTAATGTTATCAACTTCTCGCCGCACCGCCAGACGCGTCCGTGGTGACGTTTCGTCTGAGATGTCCTCACGCATTCTGACCATACAGCATGGATTGTCGAACACCCGCACGGATTACATCATGTTGTTGCTTCAGGCGGGTCGTGTCGTTGTCGATCTATTGCAAGTTCTGGAATGCAACACCAGTGCAATTTTCAATATGCGTCATGTGAACTTGCAACGGCGACACCGCAGGATGTCATGCCGTGCTCAACATATGTTTCTCACGCGAGGTTTAACCGTATAGCATGGCCTTGAGGATACAGCAGCTCCCAAAGCGGCATGGATAGAGGAGCTACCGTTTTCAACATTCCATTGTCGGCTGGTATTCTATCGCGCTTCGCATTCCTAAACAGTCGAACTCGGCATTTCTTATAGTTTCCATGGCGGAGGGTGGGTTGATTTCACGTTGCGCGTGATCAGTGGACTCGCTGCTTGCCGCAAATCTCGCCATCGTGCCAGCGCAGACGCGCAGCAGCACAGCAGGGAGAGGTCGAGTTTACGACCCGTTCCAGTCGTGTGCCTTGCTTGAGCCAGCGTTTCTTGAATGCCCCCTCCGTGGAAGCTTCTCTGGGGGCTCCCCATCGGGTCTGCTGGGGGCCTCTTGGGCCCTCTCGGGGGTCTCCTGTGTGCCCGCCGGGGGTCTCGGGGCCGTCTTGGGCGCAATGATTCCGCCGAGCTCTCCCGAAGAGACTCGGCTGAAGCATCTTGGGGTCATCTGAGCGCGTGTTTGGGCCGCTTCGGAGCCATGGTAGCGCACACATATTGCCCTGTCTTGTGTAAGTTAACGTTTTCGAATGACTGCCTGCGCGGCTGACCTCTTCGGGCGTCCCAAAGGGGCCTCTTGGGGCACGTGGGGGGGATCTTGCTGTCTGTAGGAGCTCGTTGGACCGTCTTGGGCTGGTCGTGCAGCGTCTTCTTGCAGCAGGCTGGGGCGGTCTTTTGGTTGTCTTGCTTGAAGCCAGCAAGGGCGCTCTTGGGGCTGCCTGTGGGCGCTCTTGGGGCAGTCTTGAGCCGTCTCGTACAGTTCTGGGCGCTCTCTGAAGCATTCGGAGGCGGTCCGAAGCCGAAGAGCCTCGGAAGGAAACAGCATTTCGGGCTGAACGAAAGGGGGGGATAGGGAAAGGAGGGGTTACGAAATCTGCTGCATGCAGCTGGTTTCGGCCCCGCCGCCGGGCCCATTCCTTGATACATGGGCGCCTCCCGGCGCCGGGAGGCGCTGGAAAATCAGCTACGTGAGCTGATTCTCTACCCTACCCTTTGCAATCCCCCCCCTTCGTTCCCCCCGAGCATTGATTTCGTGCTGTGTTTCCAAGGTGTTTCGTTCGCGAGGGCCTCAATAACGGCTTATTTGAATGTGTGGTGGTGGTTTCTTTGGGCCTCCTAGGACATCATTTGGGAGCTCGATGGGCCGTCTTCTGGAGCGTGCGTTAACACATTTGGGACGGTGTTAAGCTCACTTGGGGTCGCCTGGAGGTCGAAACGCGCTCCTGACAGCAAAAGCTAAGGATGGGCGAATTTCGGAGGATGCGTGAGGGTAGGGGGTGTCGTCCCCAGGAGCATTATAGAAAAACCTCGCCCGACAAACAAGGAGTATGGTAACACGCTCGAGGGTGCCTGCGTCACATATGAGGATCATGTTCAGCAGTGTACGTTTTCTTGTTTGTAAGACGAGGTATTCGTTTGAATGTCTCGCCGCGCTAGACGGTCCATCGCTTGAATTGTCCAACAGTTGTACGCATGTAGGGCGGCCCACTCTTTTTTCAGAATCCAGCTCTCGCGCGAGACTTCCGACATTCCCGACACCGAAGCTACATATGTCTCATCGTGGGCGTTGGGACATTCGTCCTTCCGCATCGGTGCCGTGCACATTACTGGAAATCCCTCCTGACGAGGTGGTGGAGAATGAAGTGTGCTTGGCATCGCTCGGACGTGTGTATTTTTCCTTTCGGCGAGGACAACCGAGGAGCATCCTTGATCATTTGGCGAAAAAAACACGCACGAATCCGAACAAAAACATAGGGAATGGACGTCCGAGCGATGGCCAGTGTGCGAAGAGGTGCCTCGTCGGCGGGGCCCGGCGGACTCTCCGGGCCCTGGATGGCAGCCACGGCATCGTGGGCAAGCTGCTGGGGTGGCGCGGGCCCGTGTGGAAGCGCGCGCAGGAGCCAAGATGAGGACCGGGGATGCCGACACCGAGGATCCAGTTTTTCCCTGGACAGGTGCTTGCACCCAGGGGTTCTTGCCTGGTCCGCCCATCTGGCCATGCCTGCCTGCTTTCCGCCCCCGCGCCGCCGCGCGCCGCCCCCGTGCCGCCGCCCGTGCTGCCCCCCCCGTGCTGCCCCCGCGTGCCGCCCCGTGCCGCCCGTGCATAGAACCGCATAGACCGTACGTACCGCACAGATTGCCTTACACTTCGGCGGCGAGCGAGGGGGGGAATTAGGAAGGAGATGGCCTTCTCAGAAGGCGGCGGGACTTCTCAGAAGCCCTCGCGCCTTGAATTCTGGGAAGTTTTTGTCTGTCTTCGGGGAAGGCTTAGACGGCTTCTCGGAAGTCCGGGGGACTTCCGAGCCTTCTGAGAAGATTACGCCCCCTCTCTCGGGGGCGGAAAAGAGGGGGGTGATGACTAGGGGGGGGTGGATATCATGGCGCGGGCCATGATATCTCCCCAGATCTCGTGGCGCCTCTTCTTGTTTCATTACGTCCCTGGTCCCCCCGCTGGGCCGCGCACATGCCGCCGGTCATGATTTGCGCCCCCCCCTCTTGGACACCCCCCTCTTTTCCGCTCCCGATTCTCACTTCCCCCCCTGGCTCGCCGCCCAACGTTGGCTGCATCGCACACGTTGCACCGCGTGGGCTGCACGCCGCACGGTACAAGAAACCATCCCTGCGGGGTCCACGCCGGCTGGCACTCGAGGGTCCGTGTGTCGTTCTGCCCTCCGGGGGCCTCCCGGGGTGTCCGGGAAGCTTGCGAGGCCCCCTTGCAGAGAGCGATGAGGATGAGCAGAGAGGAGAACAAAAAGAGAAGGTTGAGGCAGAGCGCCCGGCCCCGACGCAACCTGGGCTCTGGGGACAGCCTCAGCCTGCCAGTCTGAGGGCCGCAGAGGAGGAGGGGGGGGGAGGTGGAGGGAGGGGAGGGAGGGAGGGACGGAGGGGGAGGGGGGAAGGCGGAGGGAGGGAGGGAGGCGGGGAGAGGCGCAGGGAGTGGGTGAACATGGAGGTCCTTTTTTGGGGGGGTCCGGCGATGGCCCGGGTTGGTCCAGCCCGCCCCCCCTTTTAGGATAATTATCAGGAGGGGAAAAAACACACAGGCACAATTAATCGTCGATTTCCCAGAATATAGGAAAATATGGGAAGTGGGGGGGAAGACACGAACCCAGAAAATACGGGAAAAGATGGGGAATCGTTTTATTTGTGTGTGTATTGATTTGTGTGTCCTGGGGCCCCTTCAAATTAGCCCGACCCTGCTGCTCGCGCAGGTCCGAAGAGGGGCACGCAGTGCTCCGATGCGTGCGGGCGTGCGCGGGGCTGCCCGTGGCGACAAGACTGTATCGGCCGGGGCCTCTGCCCCCTTAAATCCCCCCCCTGCTGGAGAGCCCAGGTTCCCCAAAGGGGAGGGTGGGGGAGGGCGAGGGGGAGGGGGAGAGGGGGGGGGGCAAGCTAGGTGCGCTCGCGTCATATCTGCCATCCTACCCCTCCCTCCCATCCCTTACCATGGCGCGGAGGGGGGGGGGGGGGGGAAGGAAAGGGAGCAACCGTCGGCTATCGCACGCCGAGGGGAGGGGGATGGGGGGGGACGGGGGACGGGAGGGGTGAGCTGGGGGAGGGCGGGGAGGGTGGGCGGAGGCGAGGAGCGAGGACGGAGAGGGAGGAGGAGGGAGGAGGCCCCCCCGGAGAGGCAGGGGGTGGGCGCAGGGAGGCAGGCGGCAGGCGTCCTCGATCGATCGGGCGGGGGCGAGCGAGCGGAGAGGGATGGGGAGAGTGCGCCCGTCCCGGCTGGCCGCCTTCCTGGCTGGCGGGAGGGGCACACGCCGCACGAGCACACTCTTGGCGTCGGCGGCTGGGCAGAGGTGACTGCTCTGGCGATGTGGCATTAGGTCAGGCCTTCGCAAACATGGATGGGCGAGGATGGATGGCTTAGTTCAGGCATTAGTTCGGGGCGAGGATGGGAACACGAGGAGGAGGAGGAGGAGGAGGAGGAGGAGGAGGAGGAGGAGGAGGAGGAGGGCGAGGAGGAGGAGGAGGGCGAGGAGGGCGAGGAGGGAGAGCGAGGAGGAGGAGGCCGAGGAGGGGAGGGGCGCGCAGGGGAGGGACGGCGATTTCCAGCCGAGAGCCTTGGGGTGGGGGGCATCATTAAAGATCCCTCTCGGTTAGTGATGACCTCCCTTGTCAGGCGATCGCAAACATGGATCAAGGGGGCATGGATTAGCGGCGGGTCCCGTTTCCATGGGACATCGCGGACTTCCGCCGCCGAGCGAGGCGGCACTGGCCGCACTTTGGGGAGGGCACCTCCACCGATCCGTGCCGCGCGCCAGATCAATGGATCGCTAATCCATGTTTGCGCGCCCCCGATTAGTGGGGCGCACAACATGCTAATTGCGGGCCGCGGTCGAGAGAGGAAGCCGGGCGTGGGCGGGGGGGATAGGAAGCCGAGCCCACTCAGAGCAAGTCCCGGCGGCGGCAGGGCGGGCGCATGGGTGGGGAGCCAGCGGCGGCGCCGGGCTCAGCAGTTGGCGGGAGGCAGCCCGAAGGCAGCCGGGCGCAGGCCCAGCGGGAGGAAGACACGTTGAACTGCGAAGCGGCTGAGCACTGAGATCTTCTGACCTTCCAAGCGACTGGACAGCCAACGATGACTGCACTGAATGGGGGGGGGGGGTCGGACACGTGGAGCAGCGAGAGGCGGCTGAGCACTGAGCTCTTCTGACCTGCCAGGCGCCTGATGAGCCAACGATGACCGCACCAAAAGGGGGCTCTGCAAGGAGCGGGCCAGGGTCCAGCCGCTGAGGCCGCGGGGGCGCCGCGGTCTGCGGACCTGCGAGGCGCGGGGGGTGGGGCCGGGCCGTGGGCCGAGGGGCCACGGCGGCGGCGCAGCGCGCACGGCCGAGCCGGGGGAGGGGGGGGGCAGGCACGGGGGGGCGGGAGGCGGGCCGGAAGACCAGGCAGAGCCGAGGGCCCCGCCAGGGAACGGCCAGGGCCCGGCCAGCCCCGAGGGGGGCGCGGCAGGGAGCAGAGAGGTGGGAGCCACAGGCGGCGCCCGGGCAGAGCCTGCAGAGAGCCGGCGACCTGAGCTGGCGAGGCAGGGGAGGCAGCGGCGGGGCAGGGCACCCACCCTGGACGAGGGAATGGCGGCCAGCGGCGACCAGGGGAGAGGCGCGCGGGAGCCAACGGCGAGCGGCAAGACCAGCCCGGCAAGGGAAAACGCAGCGGCCAACACCAGGGGGGGAAGGCGCGAGCGGCGCAGCGCGCCGCGGAGCCCGTACGGATGCTGGCTCTGAGTCTCACTGCGATGGAAACGCGAGCGCGGCACTCGACAGGGGCCGAGAGCGCGCGGGGGGGAGTACCGAGGGTGCGCGGGGGGGCGGAGGCACCGAACAGGTGCAGCAATGCGGCCAAGAACGCGGGCCGGCAGAAGGGCAGCCGGCCCAGAGGCCAGGGGCGGCGAAAGGCGGGCAGGCGCGGCCGACGGTCAGTGGAGACCGCGGCCAGGCGTGTGGAGGCTGGCGGTGCGTGGCACGCAGTGCCCAGGAGGGGGGCGGCGAGGGGCGTGAGCAGGGCAACTCGGAACAGGACCACGAGGGGGGACGGCAGGTGCCCGTCGGGCTCCAGGCAGGCCGCTACCAGTGAAGCGTCGAGTCGGTGGCGTCGAGTCGGCGTCAGCGTCAGCGTCGGCGTCGGAGGTATCGTCAAAGTCGGCGTTGGCGTCGGCGTCGGCGTCGACCAAAGGCGCTGACTCCAGCGTTGTAGCTGATGACGTCCGGCTCCAGCGTGGTCTCTCGACTCTCGCTGAGCAGCGCCATAGCCCGCTGCCACCGATCGTCAGGCCGCACGCGCTGGTCCCGGCGTTGTGCTGCTGACGTCGGGCTCCAGCTTCGCCTCCCGCGACTTGCGGAATAGCGCCGGGGGCCCGCTACTGCTCGCAGTCCTCGCACTGCTCCCAGAAAGTAGCCGATGACGTCGGGCGCCAGCTTCGCCTCCCGCATCGCCCGGACACGCCGAGCGGCGACAGTGCCTGCCGCCAGGATCCGAGGGGCCCGAGGGCGCATCTCGTCTGCATGTCGTCACCGTTGCGGGCACCAGGGTGAGGACATGCACACCACGTGCGTGCCGCATCACGCTGAGGGGCGCCAGAGCCCGCTGCCACTGCTTGCTCTTCTCGCACGCCTTGGTGCCAGCGTTGCAGCTGAGGACGCTTGGCTCCAGCTTGGCCCGCCGCATCCCGCCGAGTAGCGTCAGAGCTGGCCGCCACGGCTCGCTCTTGGCTCACGCGCTGATCCCAGCGGAGTAGCTGATGACATCGGAATCCAGCTGGGCCTCCCGCGTCTCGCTGAGCAGCGCCGGCGCCCGGCGCCACACACGAACACGCACACACACACACACACCTTTTCACACACACGCACACACACACACACGCGCACACATTGTCTTGCGATGGCGGCCCCGCGCGCAGCGGCGAGGCGAAGTAAGGGAAGCACAGCGAACGGGGCCCCGCGCGCGCCGGCCTCAGAACAAGGCCGCACCACATGCCATCCAGTCATGGATGGCAGGGAGAAGGTGTGGACGAGACACGCGACCGACCCGACGACAGGGGGAGGGAGCCCACACGGCTACACGTGACGCCGAGGACAGCGACGGCGAGGACAGCGACGAGGGAGATGGACGCACACACACACAAACACCACACACACATCACACACATACACACGTGCACACACACAAACAGCACACACAAACAACACACAAACAACACGCACACGCACACGCACACGCCCGCCCTCACGCACGCGCACACGCACGCGCACACGCACGCATACACGGACGCACACGCACGTGCGCGCACACGCACACACGCGCACACGCGCACACGCACACACTCTCACACACATTCACACACACACCACACACACACACGCACATACACACACACACACACGCAAACATCAGCCACATACAACACGCACAAACAACCCACACACGCACATCCGTAGCCATTTTGGCTCAAGTTTGAAACGCTGCCCCGGCGCTTCGAACTTGGACGCTGCCAAGGGGTTGGCCCGAGCGTCTAGAGGTTAGGCCTCACAATTCTTCTCCAGTCGTGCGCCAAAGCACGCGTCCTTCTTTCCCGCACGACGGTTCGAATTACCCCAGTTGCGCCGATGCCCGCTGGAGTCAGAAAGTCCATCAAGTCCGAGGCCAGGTCTCTGTCTCGGCGGCCAGTCAAGAAGAAGGAGCCCAAGTCTGAGGATGACTCGCGGTCTCCAGAACGGTACTCAATGAGCTCTACTGGCAGTCGTCGCCCCAGCACTGACTCCAGCGAGCGCTACTCGGACCGCACACGCACCAGGTGCCGCCGCAGGGATTCTGAGATTGAGGACAGCACGGCCCCAGACAAGGCCCCTAGTTGGATGAAGCAGCTGATTGAAGGCATAAGAACCTCGAATTACCGCATCGAGGCGATGGAGCAGAACTTCGCGCAGGAGGTGCAGGTGCTTCAAAGTTCCATCTCGAACACGGATAAGAATGTCCAATCGCTCAATTTTAAGCTCCAGACCCTTGAGGCGTCCACGGCAGTCTCCATCCAAGAAGCGGTCGCGGCGGCGGTCGACACCAAGTTGAAACGCATCGACGCGACGCTGTGTGAGCTCCAGAGTACTCCTACCCCACGGTCTGGACCGACGGCTCGACGAGCACCTACTCCTGGCCCACGCCAAGATGGTAGGCACTCAGCTATGGAGCGCGCTCACCGTGTGATCGTGGTCGGCTTCCCTCGGAAGATGATGCAGGCCTCGCTGAGGCGCGCCGCTGATCTGATCCTGGCCTCTGGCGTTCCTCAGTCCTCCCCACGCCCGACGGTACGCACGTACGACATGACCAAGAAGATCACCTTGGACTTCACGGACTCGACAAAGGCCACCGACTTCCTGAACATGCTCCAGGCAGGTGCGCCAGTCCAATTCCCCGACCCGATCTACCCCCAACAGATGATCACCCTCCGCGCCAAGAGGGACATGGCACCAGGCACGCGGCTACTCTTCCTTGCCATGGGTAAGGTTCGTGGTGTACTCGCTCCCGTAGTGCGACAGGTGGGCAAAGAAATGGGGTCCAATGGTCTTGGTGGAGATGTGTATATCCTTCGTTCGGCGGAAGACCCAGTTCAGATCTGCCACATTGACCTCGTGAACAATGAGTCAGAGCCGCCCCAGGTCGCCATCCACTTTTTTCCTGATCAATTTGCGGAGTTTCAGCCGATTATTGAGCCCCACCTCCAGCGTCTACAGGAGGGGGTGGATCATTTGAATTCATCGCAGCCCTTTTAGAGAGGATGGTGACGGGTCCCAGGCTAAGGGTGCGGCGCTAGAGACACCTCCAGATGAGTGTCCCCCTGCCGCGAGCCTGATCGTCACTCCTCCTAGGCGCTTTTTTTCCTCTAATCCTCCCGTCCGTTGGACTGAAGCTGTGCCTCTTTCTCCCGTCAATGCCCTCCCTGCCTGTGTCGCCTCGGCCGATCAGGCCTCTGTGTCCGTCCCCCTGGAATGTTCTGGGCAGCACGCCTCTGGCAGCGCTTCTCGGACCTTTCAGGGGATCCCTAGCTCTTTGGTCAGGACCCGCCCTTTCTTCCCCCCCTCAGAGATGAAGATCGGTTCTTGGAATACTGCCGCCCTCTTTGCCGCTGTTCGCACCAAAAGTATGAAGGCTGCCCCGCGCTTTGCGAAGTTTCTGAAGCTCGCGAACCAACTCTCGGTCTTTTGTACCCAGGAAACCCACGGACAGATTGCGGATATAAACGAGCTTCGGCGAGAACTTCGGCATTTTGAGATTGGTCACTCTCTGTTCCCTGACTCTACTGCTACTGGTGGTGTTATCACGTGCATCCAGCCTGCGTTTGCGAAGCTCTTCTCCTCTATCTCTCACTCCAGCGTCATCGATGGTCGTATTCTCAAGTCTTATCTCTCTGGGCCTCTCGGGAACTTATGTATCATCAACGCCCACATGCCGAACACTAATGAGCTCACATGTGTATATGCTAATGCTATTAGATCCATCCTTCGTGAACTTCCCAGCCCCGCGGATTGTTTCACTATCTTGGTAGGTGACTGGAACTTTGCGCTCTCCTCTGATGGGGGACTTCGAGCGGACGGTAGTGGGTGGTATCCTGGAGATGATAACCATACCTCTCTATTTCATCGGCTTTGTAGCTCTTGGATTGAGTTTTACCAATGTGAGGACACGAGGAGGGAGGTCAGGGACGGCGTCACGACCCACTCTTCTCGGCTAGACCGTATGTACAGCACGCTTCCCTCGGCTCTGATCACGGACCTCGCGATTGTTTGCGAGGCGCGGGGGACCCTGAAGGTGGATATGGTCTCGGACCACATCCCGATTGCCGTCACGATCAGCACCTTCAGACCTCAGGATGCTCCCAAACGTCTGGCTCCCTGGGTTGTTCGACACCCTTTATTTGCAGAGCTTTTGAACGGCGCTATTGATGCCCTTCCCTGTGGTGACCCGTGGGCTCGTCTGGCCGAAACGAAATCTTTGGTGTTTGAAGTTGCTGAGGAGGTTAAACGTCTGGTCAACCTGAAACCTGCTGACACGACCGAAGCCAAACATTTTCGTGCCCTGCAAGCCCTTCGTGCATGGCGTGCGGGAGACTCTTTCAAGTTAGCGGCGGCGGTTGCCGCGTGCCCTGCGCTCGCTGCTCACTTTCCTGCTGGCCTTCTGGATGCCAGATGCGACGCCCTCTGCCAACGCGTTCAAAGTCTTCATAATACTCTTCTGTCTTCTGAGGAGGAACTGCTCAATCAGCCCTTGACCGAGGACGTCGGACCCGTGCCCTCTGAGGGGGATGAAAATGCTCGGCGGAAGTTGGCGGCTCGGAAGGAACTCTGGCGGAAGATGAATAGGCGTACGTGGCTCCAAGGGACCTTGTCGGCTTCAGGGGACATCAGCAAGACAGAAGAAGAGGCTGCCAAGGCCCTACAGGATCACTGGAGTACTATCTTTGCTGCTACTGAGGACGACGAGTCCCTCTGGCCCGAGCTGCTTAGCTTTGTGCCGAAGTTGCCAGAGGTTCCTGAGGATACTGAGGAAGAGGACTTAATCGGACAAGGGTGGATGATGAGTGAGTTTGAGTGGCAAATGTTGATTGTGGGGAGGAAAGACAGCATGCCTGGGGAGGATGGGATCCCGTACTCGGCCTGGAGGGCTCGCGCCGCTGGTGAACTTCTCTATGAATGCTACCAAGCCTTCATACGTAACCCTCGGGCTGGTCTTCCCGATGATATGAAACGAAGTCTCATGGTTTTCTTACCCAAAAAGATTACGGAGGCGGAGGTGGGGGAGGGAGTCTATCGTGAACCAGCTAATACTCGTCCACTAAGCATGACAAATACGGATGCCAAGATTTTCTCGGCCTCGATGGCTCTGATCCTCACGCGCAAGGTTGCGCGGCACTGTCTTCTCCAGCCTCCACAGAAATGTTTTCGAGGTCGCGACATGCTCGCGAATGTGATGGAGGCTGAGAGTTTCCTTCTTGAGTGCCACCTTCGTG